GTTCTCAGGGATGACGCCTGGCTCTGTGCGCAGGAACTACTCCTGGCAGGCTTGGGGGCCCATGTGGATGCCAGGGATCGAACCCAACTCGCTGCGTGAAAGACCAACTCCCCAGCCACTGCACTGCCTCTCCAGCACAGCACAGCATACTTCAAGAATCTGCGGACCCACACCCCGAGGTCTGTGTGCATGTGTGTGGTACCAGAGTCTTGACCCAGGGCTTCCTATATGTGAAGCGTGCACTCTACCACTGAACCACCTTCCCAGTCCTGATCTGGGCCTCCTTTCCCAGCACGGATATGGGGCATGTAACATTTATGCTCAAACACACACTCCAGCTCACACAACTACACACACACACACACACACACACACACACACACACACACAGGTATGTGCACCCCCACAGGGCCATGCTGACACCTGGGTGTACGTGTTCATTCCCTAATAGCAAATGCATAAAACTCCCTCTCATCGTTCTGCATGCCTGCAGACGTGCACAGCCTACAGACCAGGCCTGTGCCTGAGATGTGTGCAGGTGTTTTTGAACCCAGAACTCACATTTTCCCCACCCACATGCAAGTGCATCACAGATACACACACATGTACACCCTCATACACACACGTGTGCTCTGACGGTGCCCCCTGGGATGGAAGGATGGGAATTCAAAGGAGGTGTGGCTAAGAGGATTCGTGAGTGATCCAGGAGGCAGAAGTCTTCCCAGCATCCCCCTGGCCATCAGGGCAGGGGCAGCGCCCTGGCAGGCAAAGCTGGGGGCAGGGGCAGTGCCTATATGTCTCTCCTGAGTCCCAGGCTCCAGGGCAGCCCATCCCGCCCCCAGGGCTTCCGCTCCTCCAATCTCCACCGTGGCTCATGCCTCCTCTTGGCTCCTGAATCCAGCAACCTGGCAGGAAAAGATAAATACCAGCCCCGTGTCCCACCCCTGTAGATCTCATAACACGGCAACGGTTTCCAGGGACAGAGTGGGGTTTCAGGATTTGGGTGGGGGAGCAGGGAACGGGCTGTTTGCCGGGTAGGCGGGGGAGGGGGCTTGGGTCCTGGACTGACTTCTTCTCAGGTTCTGCTCAGGTTTTTCCACTGGGGTGTATGTGAGGAGAGGACTGGCGGCTTTTACAGGCTGTCCCAGCCACCAGTAAGGCCCCCCAGGCCCAGGAGAGGCTGCATGGAGGGTGTGGCCACCAGCAGGGCTGACAGAGTGGGCTCGCCTGGTCCCTGACGTGCCAGCCCTAAACCCTGGGCAAAGGCTGCTGTGGCCTTGGAACCTGACCCTGTATACTTAGGCCCTCACAGACACCATTTCCTCTAACTGGTCCTCTTTGTGACCCATCTGAGTGACAGCAACCCCAGGCCCCCAGGCCCCAAGTCAGCCCTTGTCTTCTCCTCTCCCTCTTCCCACCGTCCACCCATCCAGCAGCCAGGCTGGTACTCAGGCGCTCCTGTGAGCCTCTTTCACCAGTCCTGCTATCACACAGAGTTAGCAGCAGGTTCTAAGCCAGCATCTCTCCAGCTGCGGGGAGGATGAACAGCTGAGATGTGGTTTAGCCCTCTGATGAAGGGTCTGAGCCCGTGTGCAGTGTGGCTGTGTTCTGCACCCGGGTATGTCAGCCCTGGGCCGACAGCTGGGGAGTGGGGTGTGCTGACAGGTCTCTGGAGACAGCACCCTTCCACGGAGTCATTTCTGCCCTCTCCACCCTCTCGCTGGCCCATCAGACCGACTTGAATTCTCTGTCTTAGGCACAGGGCTGGACTCAGGAGAGGGCAGGATGGAGATACTGAGACATGGGGTCTGTCAGCATGGGTCTAGGGTGGCGGTCAGAAAGGGGCTGCAGGTGAAAGAGAACAAAGCCCCGAACTCCACGGTCATGAAGTTGAGCTGAAGGATAGCACAGTGGTAGGGCATTTGCCTTGCACGTGGCCAGCCCGGCCAACTCGGGTTTGATTCCTCCACCCTCTCAGAGAGCCCAGCAAGCTAACCGTGACGTATTCAATATACCAAACACATTACAACAAGTCTCACAATGGAGATGTTGCTGGTGCCCGCTCGAGGAAATCGATGAACAACAGGAGGATAGTTCTACAGTGCTACAGTGCTCTCTCTCTCTCTCTCTCTATATATATATATATACATATATATAAAATATCTGTCTATATAAAAAATATATATATTTTCTTTTTTGGTCACACTCAGTAATACACAGGGATTACTCCTGGCTCATGCACTCAGGAATTACTCCTGGTGGTGCTGGGTAGGTGGGGGGACCATATGGGATGCTGGGAATCGAACCTGGGTCAGCCGGCTGGCTGTGTGCAAGGCAAACACCCTACCCATTGTGCTATTGTTCCAGCCTGAGCTAAAGGATATTAAGGAGGGAGGAAGGGCAGGATGGGGACAGCTGGAGTTGGGAAGGGGGAGGAAAGCTTGCTGGGGGTCTGCTGCCAGAGGATTTCAGGAGGGGCCTCAGTAGGGGGCCTCTGAGGAGCCATCTAGAGGAGCTGAGGTCAGGGAGGCACTGTCTGGACTAGTTTTTTTCCTGGGAGAAGTGCTGGGACCAGCATAGAGGAAAAACACCCTAAATCTTGGGAGAGGACCTCAAGTTCCTGCCTGCTGGCAGCTGCGCAGTGTCACCGAGGGCCAGTCTTTGGCTCTCTCTGGGCCTCAGTTTCCCTATCTCAGTCCAGGCTTTTAACTGGCAAGAAAGTGATTTGCCAATCAGGATAAACAGAGAGTGGATTCAGGGGGCTTGGAGTTTAGAACCAGCAGAGTGGATTACCTGGCAGCAGAGGGGTCCGAGCCAGGCCAGGGGAATCTGGGAGGGCGGGCTCCAATCCCAGCACGGTGGATGCCTCCTCAGTGACTGGCTGACCTCAGGGCCCATGAATGCGGAGGGAGTTGGCTTCCTCACCAACTCTCCCCTCTCTCCCACTCTGGTGCTGGGCAGGGGCAGGACCTGGGGGAGGGTACAGATGGAGGCCCCCCTCTTTCCTGGAGCATCAAGGAGGCCTCCCCCACCCACCAGGAGCAGCCAGTAACAGCTCTCCTCGCTCTCTCCACTCCCTCTGCACCTATGGGGCCCTCTACCTCAGTTCCCAGTCTCCCAAGGCTCAAGGCTGTAGTGGCCCGCGTGCTGAGAGCCAGGAGCCAACGGGTGCTGGCTGCTTCTGGTGCTGTCTGCCTCCCCAGGAGCTGCCCCGGATATTCACACGGGACATCAGCAAGACCAGAGCCATGAGGATGTAGTCTCCATTAGGGTTTCCTCCCCAGAGGACTGGGTCCCTGAGCCCCCCTCCCTATACCCTCCCAAGGCTGCCAGACCAGCAGCTGGGGATTGGAGGAGTTCCGGGTCTCCTAGCTCCCTCCCCCAGACCTGTGTGTGTGGGGGTTAGGTAGCACCTCCCCCCCATCAAAGATTCTACCCCGAGGAAGAATGCAGGGAGAGGCTTGGCTCACACTGTCCAGACAGCTCCTTGGAACAGATTCTCTCTCTTTCTGTGTACACAGACACATACACATGTAACATGCATTTTGGCACTTTTTAGCTTTCTCATGGAATAATTGCTGGAAGGCTCTGTGGATTAGGTAACCAGTGTTCCTTCCTGTCCCTGTGGGGGGGGGCGGGTTGTGGGGGAAGGGGTTTAGGGGAGACTCAGTGCTCAGCATCTGTTAGACTGCAGCTCCTTTGGGGGAAGGCAAGCCAGCTCAGAAGGTCTGTGGCGCCAGCATTTTTGGAAGCGGAATGGGTCAGGAGCAGGCCTTTCTCACTTCTTGTTCCTGCTGAGAACATCGCTTGGCCAAGCCTGCTAGCCACTGGGCCTCCTTCCTTCTGGTGGGCCAGGCCTGGGAAGGAGAAGGCTGATCAGGAAAGCTGTTCTTTAAAATTTTTTTTTCTTCATGCACAAAAAATGAGATGTTCCCATTTTAACTTTAAATCGTTTTTGACCACATACACGAGAGCTAGCGTGCAGTATCTTTTACCCGTTTTTACCTAGTTGTCCTTTCATCCCCAGGCCAGCTCTGTTTTTAAGTCTTCCCTCTTCTGTGACTGGGAGGGGGTGGAAGGGAGGAATAGCTGGACCTAGGCATGAAAGGAACTTTCGGAAGGATAGTGGTGGAGAAACAAAGGCTAGGGCCTGAAGTGCTGAGAGAGGGGGTGACTAGGCCCAGAGCACCTGTCCCCGGCTTGCCGGCTCAGTCTAGGCCTCAGCCTTCTCTGCGCAGATGAACACCGGGGTGTCTTTTTCTGAGCTTTTTTCCCTGGGACTGGAGCTCCACTCACCCCCCACCCCAGGGAAGGGCCAGGAGGCGGCAGATGGCCTGCGGAGACGCCGGGTGGTGCGTGGGGTCAGTGGATAGGTCACCTAACTCCTTCCCTACCGGCTAAGGGTCCTAACAGGTGCAAGCCATTCCAGGCGGGGCCCAGCAGGTGAGCGTGTGCGCGGGAGAGCCGTGCCTGCGGCGCAGGGGGGCAGTGAGGGGACCAACCGGCGTTGTTCTGGCGACTGCCGCCCCTACTGATCGCTCTAGGGGGCCCCCATCACAGCGGAGCCCCCCTCCAAATAGGACCCAGCCGTCCCGAGGGAAAACCTAGCTCACGCCTGCGATTTCTAAGGAACACGGTCCGCCAAGGGCTGGGGACTCGGGGGCCTCTGTTCCGGCGGTCTCGCAGCCCCCGCCCCAGCCGTCGATCCCTCCTCGGGGGATGGGGCGAGGGCGGGCCCTCTCGCCGCGGCTCGGCGCGCCGGGGTCTGGCGCTCTCGGGGGCCGGGCCGGCTGGTCCGGGGGCGGCGGGCCGGCCCAGCCCGCGGCCCCGCCCCGAGGCCCCGCCCCCGCGCGGCGTCCAGCCCCCGCGCTCCGCCCGCCCCTCGGGCCGGGTCGGCGGGGCGGCAGTCGGGCCCGGGCCGCCGAGCTCGCGCGTCGCTGCGGCCGCCCGCTCGGCCCGCTCGGCCCGCTGTGCGCGCGCGTCCGTCCGTCCCGGCGGCCATGGAACCGGCGGCCCCCGACGCCGAGGGGGCGCGCGCCGTGCGCGAGGCGCTGGGCCGCTACGAGGCGGCGCTGGAGGGCGCGGTGCGCGCGCTGCACGAGGACATGCGGGGGCTGCAGCGCGGCGTGGAGCGGCGCGTGGCCGAGGCGCTGCGCCTGGCCGGCCCGCTGGCGCGCACCGTCGCCGAGCTGCAGCGCGACAACCAGCGGCTGCAGGCGCAGCTCGAGCGCCTGGCGCGCCAGGTGGAGGCGCTGGGCCTGGCCGCCGGGCTGCCCCCCGCGGCCGGCGCTCCCGGCACGCCCAGCCCCCCGCCGGCGCCCGGCGGCCCCGACCGCGCGCCCCGCCTGGGCACCGCCCGCTTCGCCAGCCATGCCACCTTCTCGCTGTCGGGCCGCGGCCAGGTGAGCCTCGGGCGCGGGCTCCCGGCCCGGAAAGCGCGGCCTCCGCCCGGCCCCGCGGCCCCGCGGGGACTCGGCCCGAGGCCCGGCGAGCGCTCCGGAGAGGGCCGAGAAGCGCGGGGCGGGCGGCCGCCGCACCTGTCCCCCACCTCCCGGGGCCCCGCGCCCCGGCCCCCTCCGCCCCTCGGTCCCGCGACGCTGAGGCGCGGGCGCAGAGCTCCGTGCTGGTTAGGGTCTGCCGGCGCGTGGGACCGATCAGCTCCCCGAACCCCGCTGCAGTCCCGCGCCCCCACCCCTCCGCTCGCCCCTGCGCTGAGGCTGACGACCCCCGTTGTTGATGAACTCAGACTCAGCTCCAGCGCCGTGTGCGCCGGGCGCAGGCGTGGGGAGGGGCACCCAGGGAAGGGAAGCCAGCCCCGCGCCGGCTAGGTTCGTGGGGCGCGGGGGTGAGCCTCCCGGAGCGGCGGGTCAGAGTCCACTGTGGGGTCTCCCGCGCCGCTCAGGCATGTGCTTCCGGGGCTGGGGTTGCACCTGCGCCCCTCAGTTCAATTCTGGGCAGTCAGCTCCGTCTCGGGGTCCAGGAGAGGGGCAGGGTGGCCCTCGGCCCTGCTAGTGGCCCCGGAGAGCAGGAGCGCGAGGGGCAGGCAGAGCGTCTGTGTGCCCCTCCCGCCCGTGTGTAGGGGCTGAGGACCCACGCACAGGGCCTCGGCTCCGCAGCCTCTTCCCACTGGGCAGGCTTTGTCCAGGACCTGTGGGGGTGGGGTGGGGCAGCCACTGAAAGGCACGGGACTCAAAGGCCTGGGGAGAGCTGGTGGGTGGAGAGGGAGGGCCGTGCTGGGAAGGCCCCTGGGCGCCAGGCCGCCGGGAAGAGGTCTTTGTTCCTGGTCCTTAAGCTAGCCGCTGTCTCAGTGCTCCACCCCCACCCCCCAGTATCGCAGGGGAATTGCGTGCACCCCGATCTGATCTGTGCCCTCTGAGCATGCGAGGCTCATGTCTGTGTTGTAAAATCACCCCAGAGCTCAGACATGCCAAATCAACTGTGTCATCAGTTGCTTCTGCAATCTTATTTGAACACACATTTGCTACTTGTCTGTTCCTGGAAGCAGCTGTCCAAGTTTTTAAGAAAAATAATCTGAGTCGTCTGTATATGAATATATAAAGTCTGAGCATACACACGCATATAGGAGAGGCTCTCTACGGCTGTGTCTCTTATGGGGGTGGACTAGTCTTGATTGTGAGGATGAAGGGGGAGGGGCCAAGGCCCTCCTGTTTTCCAGCAGTCTTCCTTGAAGTTGCAAGGTGCTGGAAGGTGGCTGGAAACTGGGAGACTTAGTGTGATGGTTGAGGAGATGGTGCATGTAGCCAGACAGTGTGTGGGTGGGGGGAGCTGGGACCCCCTGTGTGCTTGGGGAGCTGGGACCCTGTGTGTGTGTGAGTGGGAGGAGCAGGGACCCTGTGTGTGTGTGTGGGGGGGTGGGCCTAGTGTGTGTGTGTGTGTGTGTGTGAGAGAGAGAGAGAGAGAGAGAGAGAGCGCTAGGACCCCTGTATGTGGAGGTAGGTGGTGGGGGACTGTGTGTGGGGTGGGGGTGGGGAGCTAGTGCTCAGGACTGCTGCCCTCCAGTTGGGCTGTGCTGAGATGGAGGCGCTTTGGGACATCCAAGTGAAGATGTGCCCCAGGAAGTGGAGTCCTCTCAGCTGCTCAAGACTAGTCATGGGCAGAGGTCAGGGAGAAGCAGGTGGGAGTGGGCTGATGTGGGAGCCGCGGAGCAGCAGGGCTTCAGGGGACTGGGGAGAAGGCAAGTGTGGGGTACTGCAGCAGGGGGGCTATGGGGGTGGGGGTGCAGCCAGGGAGCCCTCTGCCAGGTGCAGTGAGGCAGGAGGAGGAGCAACTGCTGAGCTGCTACTGGAGTGTGGTTGGCACGGGGGTGGGGGGGGTGGGAGGGATAGGGGGTGTTGGTGTGGGGACTGGGTTCAGGGGATCCATTTCTGCCTGGTCCTAGCCCCTGGCCCTCCACTGTAAGTACTGCTCTAGCAGCCTATGTCTCCCTGGGCCCCCAGTATCTCTGGGGGGTCATGGGGTCTGTGGTCACAGAGAGGGAAGCTGGGTGCTGTCTCTCCTTGCTGAGGGTCTCTGCCCAGCAGCTGCAGTGCTGCTGCTGAGGGCAGGTGTGGTGGGGGCAGGCATGAACCCCACCCTCTGTAACAAACAATGTGTGTTAGAGGCCTTTGGCTTCAGACTGGACTCTTGACTGTTTTAGAGGTGGGTCATCCCCAAGTTGAACATTTAAGTATGTCTGGAGCCCAGTGTTGCCAAGAACCCCAACTTGCTAGGGAATTATCAGCCAAAGAGGTGCTGGAAAGAGGGAGAGGGTGGCAAGTTGGGGTGGGAGTAATCAGGCAGGACTTCCTGGAGGAGGCCTGACTCTCTGGAGCAGATAGGACCTGCTTGGCAAGCCTTTCCTGAGAGATTTGGGGGCTATCCGCTCCCAGCTGGGCCATAGTTTCTTTGTGTCTAAAACAGTGATGTTCAATCTTTATTTTTTTATATTTTGGGCCACACCTAGTATTTTTTTTTTAATATTAAAGAGAAGATTTTTTTTGAGATGACTCACACAGATTTTATTAGAGTATAAATGGGCTGGAGCGATAGCACAGCGGGTAGGGCGTCTGCCTTGCACGCAGCCAACATGGCCGACCCGAGTTCGATTCCTCCGCCCCTCTCGGAGAGCCCGGCAAGCTACCGAGAGTATTCAATATGCCAGACACAGTAACAACAAAGTCTCCAATGGAGACGTTACTGGGCCCGCTCGAGAGTATAAATGTATAACATAATATAACTTTAATATGTAGTATAATTTAATATAGTTATAATTATTTTATTTTATTCTCTTGTTGCTGGTCTCTTACTATGCCTAATTTGCAAAGCAAATATTATCATTGGTATTTTATTTATTTTATTTTTTTTATATTAAATTTTGTTTTATTTTATTTTAGGCCACACCTAGTATTGCTCAGGGCTTGCTCCTGTCTCTGTGCTCAGGAGACCATAAAGGGTGCGGGGGAATGAATTCGGGTTGGCCATGTGCAAGGCAAATGCCTCCCCGCTGTCTTATCTCTCCACTGGTGTTCAACCTTCTTACACCTGTGAATCAGTGCTGGCCTGTGGACTGGTGTTTCAAGACCACCGACCTAAACCAATGGAGCTGGGCCCTGTCTGGTGGCGCTTCCTGGCCCGCAAGGGAGTCAGAACAATGACATCAGGCGCAGAGGCTCTGTGGAGCTGGGTCCGTGGGGAACAGCTACAGCCCAAGGCCAGGCCCAGTTGTTCCCTGAAGTGTCCTCAGCTAAGCTGGAGCCCTGGGTCCCAGTGGCCCCGGCCGTGGAATCCGTCCAGCGAGGCTGCCAGGATTGCTATGTCCAGGCCCGACCGTGAGAGAAACCAGACCGGCTTTATCTGCCTCCGCCCGCAGACACCCTGTATGATAAGGGAGTTGAGCTTTAAGGAGAAGCTGGAGACCTTGACGCAGCCGTGGTGGGGCTGCAGGAGGCGGGCGTGCGTGTCTCCGGGTGGGGGCAGGGCTGGCCGCTGGTGGTTGTGGTGCACCCTGAAATATTCCTGCCTGCTTCAGATTACTCAGGAACTCCCCCTCCGCCCCCCGCCCCCACAGGTTCCCTGAAGTCAGGCTTATCTCACCCCCGTGTGTCTCCCAGAGCATTCCCAGACCCGCCCAGGGCCCACCTTAAAGCAAAGTCCAGACAGGGCTTCTGGGGTGCTGGAGCCTACAGACCCAGCCCTGCGGGGCTCTCAGTGACTCCCCAGCAACATCAACACCCAGGGTATCCTCACTTCCTTCCCTGGGGCTAAAACAGGTTGCCTCCCCTCCTCCCTCCACTCACAAATCACAAATCATCCTGTTATTCGTGGATTGCCTCGAGCAGGCCCCAGTAACGTCTCTTTCATCCTAGCCCTGAGATTATATTCAAGGCTCTTTAGGAGAATGAGACCCATCATTGTTACTGGTATTTGGCATATTGGGTACGCCACGGGAGTTTGCCAGACTCTGCCATGTGGGCAGGCTACATTCGGTAGCCTGCCAGTTTGTCCACTACGCTAGGAAATTCAGTGGGGAGTGGGGGGAGTGAGTGAGCCAGAGGCCCCTTGGGGGTTTGTGTGTGTGTGTGTGTAGGGACTTGCCCCTTGGTTTAAGGGCTCTCTCTTGTGCATGGAGTGAGGACCCCTCTGGTTCCCCCCTTTTCCCCGTCTGGCCGAGAGGTCCAGGTCGGTGTGTGCTGAGGATGTGCACTGGGCTGTAGGGTCTGCGCCCTGCTGTCATCTCTCATGCAGTGTGTGAGTGGGGCGGTCCATGTGTATACTTCAGGGTAGTCCTTGGGGTGGGCCGGACAGAGCCCTTTCCGGGGTGAGGGGTGGTTCCAGTCTCAGTATTGGGCGTGAGTACTGGGCAGGCTTAATTCCATACTCCATGTGGCCTCCCGGACAGGACCCTCTCCTCCCCACTGCAGGAGCCAGGCTTGTTCCAAGCCTGCATCCTGGCCGGTTGGGCATCTGATCCCTGGGGCACCATGGGGGACGGTAAGGGGGCCTGCTACGTGCAGAAACAGGCGTCTGTGGGGGGCCCCTAGAGACCCACATTCTTGGGAAAGTGATTTCACCATCAGCTGTCCCTCCAGGCCCCTCTCGGGGCCTGTGGAACCTGTTGGATCAGGGTAGGGGTGATAGTGGAGACCCCAGAGCCCAGTGCCCTGGTGGCAGGTGGGGGCTGCGGCTCAGGAGCCCAGGCTGTCTCCCGCTGCAGACTGGTTTCAAGTTGGCCTTGGAGGAACTCTGGGGGTCCCCCTATCGTCTCTATTATTCTGCCAGTGGGCCTGCCCTTCCCTGTCTCCTGGGAGGGGTTCACCCCAACCATGAGGGTGCCCCTCCTTTCAGCCTGAGCGAGCCTGTCCTTCCTCATGAAGCAGGGCAGCCCTCGGCCCCTCCCCCCTTCCTGCTGTTGGGGGGAAGGGAGTGGGGGAGGGGCCCTGCCCTGGGCCCCAGCTGATGCTTTTCCTCCCCTCACCCATGGACTCTTTTCCATATGTCCGGTGGATGGTTTTTTTCAGGGTTCTCTGAGCCTTCTTTTCCTCAACCTGAGGCAACTTCTGAGCTGACACACTTGTCACACCTGTCTTCCCAATACACACCATATTGCCTCCCCCCTACTTCCCCTGCCTTCCCCCCACTCCCCTGCCTTCCCTCACACCCCTTTCCCCCCAACACTCCCCCCACCCCCACACACTTCCCCTGCCCTTTTCAATGGCCTTCTGGCTCCTTCTTGCCCTCTGCTTGCCCCTTTCTCATTAGCCTCCTCAAACCCCTTGTCCGGCCCCTGCCAGCCACCCCTTTTCCCTCCTTCCTCTCTCCTTCCTCCCTCCTTTCTGCCAAAGCCTTTGTCATCACACTGCCTCGCCCCCCTCCCCCCAAACCCTTGCTGCCCCTGGCTTGTTAGGCTGCCCTGCTGGGCTGTGGACCTGACTAGGACAGCGCCCCATCTCCCCCCCCACACACATCCCTGCATGCCCTTCCTCCTGCCCCTGCACCCTCACTGTTTGCCAGGTACCCACCCCAGCCAGTGAGGCGAGGCTGTCTGGTTCCCTCCCCTTCCAGGTCCCTTTGTCGTTGGCCTCCGAGAATTCAGCTCCTTGTCCACAGGCTCAAGGCCAGGTTCTGTGGGCGCCCCTCAGCCTCTGCAGGGCTGCAGTCCCCGCCGTGCTTCTCAGCCTGCCACCATCCGGGCTGATCCTCTGTGCTTCATGTCTGTCCACTGGTCCCTCTGCTGGGAATGTCCCCCTCTTCTCATCCATCTGCTCACTGTCAAGCTGTCAGTCACCCACCCCAGCTCTTGGGGTCAGCCTGCACTGTCTAATTGAGGCCGGGCTCTCCTCGCCCCCCCCCCCCCCCACTGATGCCCCATGGCAAGACAGCCCCTTCTTGCCCTGCCTGCAAGAATAGTTGGGCCCCTTCCTCCCTGGCACCCTGGCACTGACCTGGGCGTTCCAAGCCCGGGCAGGACCCACTCTGCCCCTCCTGCCTTGTGGCAGTGCAGACACTATCCCCCGTACAACGCCTTCACCGTCTGTGGGACCTCGGACAGCACTCACCCCCAGAGTGAGCCCCAGACCCCTCAGGAGTGGGGCTGATACCCAGGAGCGAGTTCTTAGGGCTGCCCAGCAAAGGCCCTGGCCGGTGAAGATGCTTTGCTGGCTCGTGTCAGCCCTGCTCTGGATCTCACACAGGGAAACTGAGGCCTGGAGGGCTGGAACCGACCATTGTCCCACCATCCCACTGTGGGTTGGTGGCCCCCCTGCTGTGGCTCCTGCCCTATGCTCTCAACACACCTCCACCCCTACCCATCTGTGCTTCCTGGAGGGACTGAAGGGCACCCATCTGGCCTGTCCTCAGCCTCTGGGCAGGTCTGGTCACTCTGTGTCCCACTGAGGGAATGAGCAACCAGCGTCCATCCCTGCCCAGAGGCCCCCATTCCCTGGATTCCAGGGCATTTCCATGGCAGGCCATGCCTCCACACCCTCCATGGGGTCCCTCAGTCTTGACCATCATCCCTTACTTTTGGGGCATTGACCAGTTGGGGCAGGGGGCAGCTGGTCCTGGCTGACCGTGCCAGCCTATGTCTCTCTCTGTCCAGAGTGTGGATCATCAAGACGAAGCCATTGAGTCGGAGATGAGAAGGAATTCCAGCTCCAGCATCGTTGAGAATGGGCACCAGCCAGGGCCAGGTGGGCGCAAGTCGAGGAGGGCTCAGGCCTCTACCCCAGTGGGCAGGCGCGGAAGCCACCTGGCCAGCAGGCACCTTCAGTGTGAAGCCAGACATTTGCACCCAGGGGAATGGGAGCTTCCAAGTGGGAGGGGTCTCTTCCTTGTGTCGGGTGGAAGGCAGCCGGGGCTGAGAACTGTCCACACAGGTCCCTGGAGAGGGCCCTGAGGAGCCACTGAGGGTTTATTGGACTTACTTGAAGGGAGGCTGGAGAAGGCATTAACTTTGCATGGGGCAGAATAGGAGGAGGCCAGAGAGGCTGGGTGACCTGGAGGACTTCCTGGAGGAAGTGGGAGGAGGGCTTAGGAGCTAGCATCCTCCTGGGAGCTGTGAGACCTCTGTGGATGTCTGGTTGACACTAACCTTTTTGTCCTCTTCCCACTGTTCCAGGCGATGAGCCCCCTGAGGCCACACAAGTGTTCTCGGCACCGGATACCCCCAAGCCTCGTCCCGTCAGCCTCTCCTTGCGGCTGCCTCACCAGCCCGTCACGGCCGTCACAAGGGTCTCCGAGAGGTTCTCAGGGGAGACCTCAGGCATGGCTCTGTCGCCCACATCTGCAGCCATCCTGGGGGGCCTCAGCCTGAGTCCCAGCGAGACCAGTACACCCTGGACTCCCAGTCCTAGTGGTAGGAGCTGGAATGTGAGGGTGGCCAGGGGGCTGGGGCAGACTGACCCAAGGCAGGAGGGGGCAGTGGCTGGCAAGACCTGGGGGGAGGGCCTGGAGCCCAGCACTGGCCTCTACCTTTGCCCCAGCCCCAGGGCCCATGCAACAGGTCTCACGGGCATGGACATGGTGCCACTCGGCTTCTAGGGTAAGGCCACGGGCCTGACACAGCCTCTTACCCTGCCTTTGACACAGACTCACTAGCCCACTCACAGTGTTCTGGGGTTGGGGAGCCACACAGTCCTGGGGGCCCTTAAGTGCAGGCGAGGGCACCTGCAAAGGCCTCTTCCATCCCCTTGTGCCATGGCCTGTCCTTCTCTCTTCCCAGTCATTGGCTGAGGCAGGGCCAGTGTTGGCCAGAGTTCCTGCCCATCTGCAGAGTGAGGGCGGCTAGGCTGGTGCTGCTGGGGTGCAGGGAGGGAGGCTGGCTGTAGCTGGTCCTCTTATTTCACTCTCTCCCTCCCTGGGTCCCTCAGAGAAGAATGCCTGTCTCCCACGGTCTTCAGCAAGCTCTGGCTATGGGGCAGTGTGGCCAGGCGGGGCCCCGGACAGGTGAGTCATGGCTGTATCCCCCGTGACCTGCCCATGTGCCAGCCTCGCATCCTGGGTACCTCCGGGGAGGGCCTTGGCCCCAGAGGATGACATCTTCTGGTGGGGCCTGGACAGGGCACAGGAGTCGGCCCCGTGGATGGTGGAGAGTTCTAGAAAAATATGGCTACAGGCTGGTTTTGCCATGGGCCCTTCAAAGCAATCAGTTTTCAGGCTTTAGTCAGAAGGGCATCTCTCTCCTGGGGCCAGGAGGGTCTGTCCCGTACTCACCTCTTCATCCATCCTGGCTGCGGGGTTCTCCCTGCCTGGGGGGGGCCACAGGCTAGGGCTGGTCTGGACGCTGATTGGAACTGGAAGTCAGTGGGCCCTGAGGAGTGTTTATTGGACTTACTTGAAGGGAGGCAGGAGAAGGCATTAACTTTGCATGGCACAGAGTAAGAGAAGGCCAGAGAGGCTGGGTGACTTGGGGGGTCTTTGGCTTTAAATTTTTGGGGGGCCACACCCAGTGATGCTCAGGAATTACTCCTGGCCCTAAAGGTAAAGGTAAAGGTAAAGGCCCTCCCGTTGATCGTCGATTTGCTCGAGCGGGCCCAGTAACGTCTCCATTGGAGACTTTGTTGTTACTCTGTCTGGCATATCGAATACTCTCGGTAGCTTGCCGGGCTCTCCGAGAGGGGCGGAGGAATCGAACTCGGGTCGGCCATGTTGGCCGCTTGTAAGGCGAACGCCCTACCCGCTGTGCTATCGCTCCGGCCCCCCACTCCTGGCCCTACACTTGGGAATTACTCTGCTGCATGCTAAGCAAGCACCTCACCTGCTATACTGTTGCTCTAGCCCCTAATTTTTTTTATAAGACCTTAAAAGTATTATTTTATTCCAAACACCCCCTACCCTACCCTTCCTAGTGGTGGTTGATGTTGTGATAATGGGGCTGCACACCCCTGGCTGAGGTGGGTTTTCAGTTGTGGCGCCCCCTGGAGGCCACAATCAAGCCTCTGTGCTCTGCCCTTTCTCGCCAGGTGTGACTTGCTCCCTGTTGTGGTGGTTTCCAGGGGTCAGTGCGCTGCTGCATACATCCTGGCCGTGGCCCTACTGATTTTTAGTCGCAATACTATGCTGTGGGGGCTTGGGGGGATATGCCCCTCCCCCCTTTTTTGTGGTACCCACCCACACTGATTGCATTGTGGCTGGAAATTGCTTGCACTGCAGGGGATGACGGATAGCAGAGCTGCCAGTGTTCTGCTCATGTGGAACACCAGGGATTTGAACTCGTGAACATACGTTTTCAAGGCAGGTCCTTGAAGCCCCGCACTATTTTTCCAGGCCTGCTTTTACTTTGCTTTTCATAGTACCAGGAGAATTGTGGCAAGTTGAGCCAGGAGGAGTCAGAGGAGGGTTTTACCCAGTTATGCTGGAGGAAGGGGTCTGTGAACAGCCCTGCCCATGGGGAAGTTTCCGGGCTCCCTAGGCACCAACTGTGATTGTGTCCAGGAGGGGACCCTGGGCTCCTCCCCATGGGGCCCCTTGCAGCTCTGCAGAAAACCTGCCTGACCGGTTGGGGACTCAGCGGGTGGCTTCCTTTCTCACTGCCTCTGTCCCCCACCCCTTGGATATGTGCGCCAAGGTAGCCTGTATGGTCCTGACTCAGTGGTTCTTTCTCAGCCCGCCCCTAGTGACACCACCCCAGTCCCCGCCATCCCCGCAGCTGCCAGTCACTGCACAAGCCCAGCGCCCAGGGGAGCGGCGGCGGGAGCTGGTACGGTCACAGACGCTGCCCCGCACCTCAGGGGCACAGGCCCGGAAGGCCCTGTTTGAGAAGTGGGAGCAGGACACGGCTGGCAAGTATGCATCGGGCTTGGGGCGGGCAGACCAAGACCCCAGCCACATGGGTTTCCCTGGCAGTGTGGTCTTCCCCAAGATCAGACCCCCAGCAAGCCAGGCTGAGCCTGGTTCCAGCCCCCTCCCCCCCCCCTCGGCCAGGAACCCCTGGGGCTGCCTCATACCTGTCTTTGGTTTCTGACTGGACACAGGGACACCCACGAAGGGCTGCAAACTGGGATTTCTGGCAGGATCTGGGTGCAGGGGGTCTGTTGGCCCATGACCATGCCCACCCACTTCGGGTACCCCACCTCTGCAAGGCAACCTCCTGCCGGGCTGTGGTCCCAGTGCTGCCCCTCTTCTGGCTCCCCGGGCTGTGGCCTCAGTGCTGGACAGTCTCAGAAAGAGTGCTCACGGACTCAAACAGCCTGTGTGCAGCAGTTACAGGGTATTCTGGGGGGCAGGGAGGAAACCCACCCTCCACCCTAGCAGAGGCAGAGGTTGGGCGCGTGCTCCTAGCAGGCAGCCTCGGGTTCCCCGGCCCCCAGTGGCCGGGTGATCCCCAGTGCCTGGTGTGGAGAACCTCGGTGCATCCTGGCAGACCCTGTCCGGGGAGGTGGGTATGGTGGGACCGGCAGGGGCTCCTCTGCTGTCGGGGGATTTGGCTCGAGGGCATGCCAGTCCCCCAGCAGGCTCTCTCCCTGTGCAGGGGCCGAGGGGAGACCCGAGCCAAGCTGAAGCGCTCGCAGAGCTTCGGTGTGGCCAGCGCCAGCAGCATCAAGCAGATCCTGCTCGAATGGTGCCGCAGCAAGACCCTGGGCTACCAGGTGAGCCCCAGGCCGGCCCCGGACAGTGTGGCCAGGGCAGGAACACAAGGCGGGGTGAGGACGGCGGTTCCCCGGGTTCTGGGCTCAGGACTCCTTCCCCAGACAGCCAGATTCGCACTGCTGCCTGGCTGAGGGGGCGTGGCCGAGTGGGGGGGGCGGGGTCTCTGCTGGGGTAGGGGGTTGAGTGGGTGGGTGACGAGTCGGAAGCTGCGGCCTCCCAGGCCTCACCTGGAGCCTCACCTTGCCCAGCACGTGGACCTGCAGAACTTCTCCTCCAGCTGGAGCGACGGGATGGCCTTCTGCGCCCTGGTGCACTCTTTCTTCCCGCATGCCTTCGACTACAGTGCCCTGAGCCCCACGCAGCGCCAGAAGAACTTCGAGCTGGCCTTCACCATGGCCGAGTGAGTGGGGCAGCTCCCACTGCTGTCATCCTCACGGGGGCATGGAGGTGGGTGGGAAAGGGGCCGCTGCCCTCGGAGCCGAGACACCCCGAGGCCACAACCCTCTGCTTCTGGTATGGATGGGCAAACGGATGTAGTGCTAAGGGGGGCCAGCACTAGTGGTGGGTACAGCCACAGATAGGGTGCGGGGAGCAGGCCCAGGTCTCCAGCGCCCTGGGTGTCCCCTATGGGCTGGTGATAGCAGATGGAATTAGCAACAGTTGTTGAGCAGCAGGAAATGAAATAAGCTACCCCCAGGACATAAAAATATGCCTTCCATGATTGGAGAGCGAGCACAGTGGATAAAGATCTTGCCTTACCAGCAGCTGGTCTGGGTTTGGTTCCCAGCACCATCGACAGTTCTTTGCAGGCCTTCAGGAGTGATCCCTGAGCACAGAGCCAGGAGTAAGCCCTGAGCACTGCTGTTTGTGGCCATAAAGCAAATTTAAAAAATGACTTAAGAGAGCTAGATGATAGCTCAGGTTTGATCCCTGGCACCCTGAACACAGAGACAAGAGTTTTTGCCAGGTGTGGCCCCAAAACAAAACAAAAAAGGAAAAAAAAATGTGAGAATGTCCTCTGCCTCTGGGAAACACATTCTCCTAACCCGGGCTTCCTGCATTTGAGATGGCATCGCCTGCCTCCCGGAGGGCCTGCTGCAAGGGGTGATGGGGCAGTGGAGGCAGTTCTGAGATACTGTGAGATATTTGGGATGTCAGTTTGGATTTGGTGTAGGGAAACCCCAGAGCTTTGGGAGAGGGGGGTAATGGGACAGGGTCAGGGTTTGGGTGATGGACAAGTGGTGCATTAAAATGAGTGGGGGGGGGCTGGAGCGATAGCACAGAGGGTAGGGCGTTTGCCTTGCACGCGGCCAACATGGCCGACCCAGGTTCGAGTCCCAGCATCCCATATGGTCCCCGAGCACCGCCAGGAAGTAATTCCTGAGTGCATGAGCCAGGAGTAACCCCTAAGCATCGCCGGGTGTGACCCAAAAAGCAAAAAAAAAAAAAAGAGTGGGGGAGAGTTTGAGAAAGGGGCTCTTTCCAAAGCACTGGCAGGACAGAAAACAGTTGGGTGGTAGCGGGGCTGTCTGGCCCGGGGTGTAGGAGCTCGGGAGAGTCTGTGCTGGTGGGCGCTGCACTCTGGGAAGGGGCTTCCCAGTTCACTGAGAGGAGCGTGGAGGTAGTGGGCGTAAACACTCAGCCCTAACCTGCCTTCTGCCTACATCTGGGCCTCCTGCTATAGCAGGTGGAAGGCGGGGGAGCCCTCCCTGCTGCCCGGGGCAGGCAGGCATGCAGATGAGGCTGTGGTGTGTTGTCAGATGCTTAGCATCGTGGAAGTTGGGGGAGAAAGGGCAGAAGGAAGCTGGGTCTCCCCAGTGCTGAGTTTTCCTGCAGGAACCCAGATCACTCTCTCCTGCCCACCAGCTTCGGAGCCTGGCAGTGTTGCTCTCTGCCCTCACTTGGGCTATGGCTGACCTCCTGGATCCTTGTCTTCGTCCCTACACCACCCTCCAGAAAGTCCTCCCTGCTGCTGGTGGAATCATCCTCCCAGGCCTTGGCTGCCTTCCTGGCCTCATTCCATCCTAGGCCTGTCAGCGAGTCCCATCCCAGCCCCTGCTGCATGCCTGGCTGAGCTGGGGGGTGGGTGCCAGCAGCTGTGAGATCCGCACGCGGTCCCCTAGGCAGCCACTGCGTCCGGAGCAGCCGCCTGGTTCTGGGGCCCTGAGGGAAGAAGGGAGGCGGTTGGCTCTGAGCTGCTGCTGAGGGGCTGGGGTATGGCATCCCCCTGTCGTGTGGTCTTGGACGGCGCTTGTCCTCCTGGCCCCTTGGGGTCGCAGGAACCCCTTGTGCCATTTAAAAGTCTTGCCTTTTCCTGGCTGCTCAGGGCTAGCTGTCATCCTGATTGCAGAAACAGCTCGGGATGGAGTGTGGTATGCAACTGGATCCAGACACTGGGGGAGTGGAGCCAAGTATAACGGCATGGTGTCGGGGAGGGCCGCCCCACTGAGGGGGCCCAGCTGCTTGGAGCCCAGACACACACACTGTCGCAGTCTGCAGGGCTGGTGCTCTGATGCGCGCACCCTGAGGCCTACCCCAGCAGGCCCGAGAGCTCTCTCCCTTGAGGCCAGCAGTACTTTGTGGTGCCAGTACTTCTAGCCCTGAGTCTGGGGCGGGGGGTCAGCCCTGGCCTGGCGGGGCTGTGGCAGGGAGAACGTGGCCTGGGGCCATGGGGGTGGTGGCCGGCACCCCAGCTCCCGGGGAGCACTGCTTCCCTTGGCAGCCAGGAGGGGCCATTCGTGGTGTTTTCCCAGCGTGAGGTTTGAGCTCAGACTCCAAACAGATGTTTCTTCTATTCCCAACTTGGGGGTGGAGGAGGCGCCTCTAGTTTGCCTGCCTCTTCCCCAGAGCAAATTGCCTGGTAAAGGCTCAGCCCTGCCTGCCTTCCCGGGGCTCCTGTGCCTGCCTGGGTGGGGGTTGGGGGCTGGGGGGTGCACAACCTTTGGCACCTGAGATGAGTGCCTTCTTTTTTCTTTTTAGTTTTTATTTATTTATTTGTTTTGGCTTTTTGGGTCACACCCAGCGATGCTCAGGGGTTACTCCTGGCTTTGCACTCGGGAATCACTCCTGGCGGTGCTCAGGGGACCATATGGGAGGCTAGGAATTGAACCCAGGTCAGCCACGTGCAAGGCAAACGCCCTACCCGCTGTGCTATTGCTCCAGCCCCAAGCCTGCCTTCTTTTCTGCTGACTTGAGCAGGCCTGTGTGGATGCTTGTGGAGAGTTGGGGTAGGTGCCTCCCCATGTGAGTCGCATAGAGATGACCTTAAGGGTAGTGGGCTGGGAGGGGGTCCCCAGGAGTCAAGCAGGCAGCACACAACTCAGAAAGGCAGTTTTGGGGTAGACATGTGGACTGAGAGGAACTGGGGTCCAATGAAGGCCCAGCCTTTGGGGAGGAGAGGAGGACATGAGGCCCCCAGACTCTAGATCCACTTCACCACAGGAAGGACATAGTTCCAGACCTTTCTGCCTTTTTTTTTTTTTTGGTGCGGGGTCAGGGGGGGCCACACCCAGCAGTGCTCGGGGCTTACTCCTGGCTCTGCACTTGGGTGAGTGCCTTAGAGGTTCAGGGGACCATATGGGATGCTGGGCTTCGAACCTGTGTTGGCCATGAGCAAGGAGAGTGCCATTCCCACTCTACTATCTCTCCAGCCCCAGTTCCAGACCTTTCTGAGACAAGTGCCTCAGGAACCTGGGGAATAAATGTAGTGGCATCGTCCCCGTGGTCATTACAGTCCCAGAGGCTCCCAGCCTAATCCGCGTGAGTGATGTGATGCTGACAGAGTGGTGAGCTCCCCTCAGGAGACAGGTGTTTGGGAAGAAGGAGCCCCCCCACCCCATTGCCACCCCGCCCTTTTCTGGCAGGGGCTGTGGCGGGCAGCCAGGGGCCTGACCCTCTCCTCTGGGCACAGCATGGGGCAGGGCAGAAGGGAGCAGGGTGTGTGGCCAGAGCCTCCTGGTTGCCCTGGGGGGAATGTGTCCTGCTCTCGGGTTACCCGAGCAGAAGGGGCTTCCAGGCTATTTGTAGTCCCCATGTGTCTCTCTGTCTAAAACCAGACAGGAGGCTGAAGTCCGAGCCCTGGCATCCTAGTCTACATTTAGAGAAGGCTTAGAAAAATAAAAATAACCCCTCAAACACCTCCTTCATCTCTCTCGAAGGCCAACCCTATGGTTGCCGCATGTCACAATAGACAGAAGTTGAAAAAAAAGAGCCTAAACCTTTTCTAACCCCAGGAGAGTGGGACCAAGTAGTCATTTAAAGGTGGGATGGAGGGGGCCTGAGTGATAGTACGGTGGGTAGGGTGATCCGGGTTCTATCCCCGGCATCCCATATGGTCCCTCCAGTACCACCAGGAGTGATTCCTGAGTGCAGAGCCAGAAGTAATCCCTGAGCATTGCCAGATGGGACATAAAAAAGACAAATAAATAAATACAAGTGGGATTGAGGAGCTGGGGAGATGCTTCTGAGGGCTGAATGCATCTTTGTGAGGGGTGCCCTGGGTTTCTCTAAACATCTTAGGAACAACCCCTGAGCACTGAGCCAGGCAGAGCCCCTGAACACCCTCAGATGCGGCCCCCATGCCATGTCCAATCAGATGACTGTAAGCTAACATCAGCTCTGGTGCAAGGGGACAGTGATAACCGAAATGATTTGTACTTTTTCTTCTCACCCCCAGTACTTTCTCCTTTTGACCAGACCATGTCGTTTAATTACTTGAAACAAGCTTGTGCCAATTTTACCAAAGAGGTTTTTAAAAAGCGTTTTAAAAGACAGTTGGAGCCTCCCATTTTGAGACTTCAGGGTTTTTGTTTGTTGGTTTGTTTTATTCCACTTCCTTAAAAGTCTGCGAGTCTGCGTGAGCATCATTTTCCTTTTCTCATGGACTGTTGCCCGAGTTTTGTTCAACCCATGTCTGTGGTGTCTAGGAGTCTTGTCACTCTCGTCATAGACTGCTGGATGGGGTGGGAGCAGGCAGACATGGTCCAGCGCCCTGGAGGTGGCAGGGGAAGTAGCCCTGGGCCACGCTCCTCGCCTGGGGAGCAGACAGTGATGGTGCCATGTAAGACACGTGCTCCCCAAATGCAACCCCTGCCTTCTCCTCGCTGCTTGTGTATTTTCACATATTTACCTCAAGAATCAATTGCTCGATTCCAGTCTTTGGTCCACTGTGATCACTTGATCGTTTTCTGTCCAGGTACAACTCTGTCATCACAAGTTAGTTCAGAAGTCGACAGTTGGTTTTTTGAATCATGGAAGAAATGGGGAGGGGAGTGAGCGGAGAGACCGCAGTTCCAGAGACCGCAGGCTTCTGGAATCTGGCCCTCACCCAGGTTGTTTCTTCTCAGTCTGTCTGCCTAGCAGACCCCCAAGAGGCCAGGCCTGGGTTTCCCTACGTGCTAAGTTATGCTGAGTCAGGGAGCGGCCATGCCAGCAGAGCTGCGAATGAGGTTGAAGGGCTGACCCAGATGGGGGTGAGAGGTCAGGGATGAGGGGTCACGCAGTTGTGAAGACCTTCATGGTCAGGGATTGAGGTGGGGGCCACTACTCAGAGGGCCAGTGTCTCTAGAGTGAAGGAAGAAGGGAGTCGACACGCTTTCCCTGCCCAAGGTGGGCCGCTTCTGAAAACTACCAGCAGTTCTGAGTGCTCTCTGAAGAGTGCTCACAAGAAAAGAGCAGCCCTGGGGAGAGGGTTCCAGGCAACCTACAGGGGGCAGGGGCAGGGGCAATCGTGAAGCAGGCAGACATGCTTGGTCTCAGGGAAAGACACGCCTAGGAAGGTTTCCTTCCAGTTTGTGAAGGGCCCTGGCGTGGGGGAAAGGATCAGATTAGCCTGTAGGGTCAGTAGGGAAAGACCCAAGAGACAAAAGGGCAAGATCAGGGCCCATGTGGTCTTGCCAAGGGCCTCTGCAGAGGGAGCAGAACTGTCCTTGGAGGACTGCGATCTTCCAGGGGTCACTAAGCTTAGACAGGGCCTTCCCAGACTTGGAGAGTCACTCACAGCCTCATCCTGGACTGATGTTCTGGCATTCAGTGCTAGCCCCAGCACTGCTGTCAGTACAGACAGCCCGGGCGCATGCGCAGAACCTGCTCACACATACATCAGAACTTGCCTGCTTCAGCCCCAAGAAAGAGAGAGAGACACAGTGTGGGGGAAGGTCCTCTGAGCACCTTCCTCCCCTGCCAGCAAGGCCATTGGATTCCCTGGAGATGGCCCCCGCTGGGGTCTGGACTAGTGTGTTCCTTGCTCCTTGATGTTTGCCTCCAGCGAGGAGGCTTGGCCTCCTGGCGGCACCACAGACCGGGGCCCTGGGCTGATGGGAGGGACCTTGTCTTTGGAGCCCAAACTGGCAGAAAAGGCAGTGCAAGGCACAGCGGTGGCTCCTGCACCCGGGGATAGCCAGGGAAGACAGAAGAGCAGGAGCAGCAGTGGGCAGAGTCAGGACTTTAACTGGCTACTACATCTTCACGTCCCCCTGGCCCCCTCCACCATTTACTCCACTGCAAAGGAATAAATCAACATCATCTCTGTTTGCTGTACTCCTGCATACCAGACACTGCATCCGACTGTTGTAGGTTACGTTAGCTCATTCACTAGTGCTCGTCCCACAGGTGGTCTTTGTTTCAGGTGGGGAAACTGAGGTCTGAAGAGGCTCAGTGCCGTTCCCAAAGTCATACTAAGCCTTTTTGGTTGGTTGGTTTGTTTGGAGGCCACACCCAGTGACACTCAGGGCTTACTCCTGACTGTGCTGGGAATTGAACCTGGTTTTGCTGTGTGCAAGGCAAGCCCCCTGCCCGCTGTACCTCTCTAGCCCCATGTCTGTAACATGGATGTAACCTCTGATAGTCATGGAGATATGAGTGGGGGGGAAAGACTGGGAGCCCAGGAACCACCAGAGTACATGCACCAAGAATGGGAATAGTTTTTGCTCTTTGGGTGTGGCTTAGTGCTCACAGCCCAGCCACATCTGGGCACAGGGGCAGGGGCAGCAGCTTCGCCAGGCTGAGCTGTGATGTCAAGACTCAGCAGTAGGGACTGGAGCCGTAGCACAGCGAGTAGGGTCTTGCCTTACACGCGGCCGACCTGGGTTCAATTCCCAGCATCCCATATGGTCCCCTGAGTACCGCCAGGAGTAATTCCTGAGTGCAAAGCTAGGAGTAACCCCTGTACATCGCTGGGTGTGACCCAAAAAAGAGAAAAAAAAAAGACTCAGCAGTAGATGGGAACGAAGCGATAGTACAGTGGGATGGTGGAGCGGGCTGACTGGCACGTGCCCAGGCGCTCTCCGGGGCTCACTTAAACAGAAATCCTGCATCAGTGTGTACAGGTGGTCCTTTTAGATGTGGGTGTCCAGGAAACACCCCTCTGTTAGACCAGAGGACTCCAGAGGGTCTGCTGGGCTCATGGGCTTCGCCGTGGAAGGGAATGAACTCCAAGTGGGGTTCTCTTCTGGGGGTGCTGATGGTGATGCTGGGGGGCTGGGGCTTCTGTCTTGCAGGAATCTGGCCAACTGCGAGCGCCTCATTGAAGTGGAGGACATGATGGTGATGGGCCGCAAGCCGGACCCCATGTGCGTCTTCACCTATGTCCAGTCGCTGTACAACCACCTGCGTCACTTTGAGTGAAGCCCCTTGGGCCCGGAGCACCAAACAGCAAGCCCAGGAGGAGACCACTGGGCCACAGGGACCCCAGGGAAGTTGCGTTTCCAAGTGAGAGCGCTGTTTGTCCTGTGCTGTGTGACGCTCGCTCCTGTCCAGCCGTGTTGCTGATGAAAAGTCGCGGCCACAGTGCTGATCTCGGCCAAGAGCTCTGCAGAGACGGGAAAGCTAGCAGAGAGGGAGAAACTGGTGCTAAGTAATCATCTTCTCCAAACCAACGAGGCTTGTCTGTAGACTCCAGAGTGCTAAATCTCATTGGTCCCTCTGGTGAATTCGATACATTGGCTTTACCGGGAGACATTGATTACCAAGTGTTTTTTTTGTCAAAATACCCCCTGAGTTTCTTCCTTCCCCACACTATCCTAGCCTCTTTCCTCCCTCCCTCTGAGCCACTGCCAGGAAACAGAGACCGCTTAATCAGCAGCTTGACAAAGAAGCTCCGGAGTCTTGAGAAGAAACAGTTTAACCACTCCCAGGTCCTGGGCCCCAGATGACCTTCAAGTCACCTCGGCGCTCTGGAGAGAGGGAAGGCTCTCGCCTTGGTCCCAAAGCGCTTCTGTCCTTCCCTTCCCTGGAGGCCCCACAAGTGTTTGGCTAAGAATAGGCTCATGGGAAGTTAACACTTTTGGGGTCAACAGGCCTTTCGTGCTGAGAGCTAGTTTTTAATTCACTTTTTTTTTTTTAGGGAATTTGCTGTAGATATTTATATTATATATATATATATATAAAAGTAATTCCATCTGTATCCCTGACCGGTTTGTACATAAAAACAAAACATGTCAAACTTTGCTTGGGATTCGTTATTTCTGTTCCAGAGATGTGGGACGTGTGAATCAGAGATTTTGCACAGCTTCCAAGTTCTGCTTAACCCCAGCCCAGCACGCCCCCCCATCCCCTGCCCGTTTAACGGTTGTGCTTAAATCACTTGCCTAGGACGTTGACAATCATGTTTTCTCTCCTCGAATTTGCCTGCCATTCACCCATCTCATGCTGTTCAAGGAGCAGAAACAGAAGGTTCCCTGGTGGCTCTGTCCCCTGGATGCCTGTTGATGAGGCTCTGATGGCAGATTCTGGGGTGGTCCTGCACGTGGAGGAAGCCCCTCAGAAGAGCTGGTTTATTTTCACAGCTGTTTTGGTGGAGGGAGCTGTTTTATTGTGTTTTGTCTTGGAGCCACACCCAGTGGTGCTCAGAGGTCACTCCTGGCAGTGCTTGGGGGTTCTGTCTGTGCCCCCCGCATGCAAAACAAGCACTCAGCACAATCTGATAGGTGGGTAAACAGGTCTGCTTGTTGCAGTCACTGTCTTGTTAGCTCTCTGTCTCTGTCTCTGTCTATCTATCTGTCTCTCTGTCACTGTGTCTCTGTCTGCCTCTCTCTCTCTCTCTCCCTCCCTCTCTCTCCCTGGTGGTAAGAATTATTTTCATGGACAGTCTCAAGATTATAAAGTCGTAGCCATCAGCTTCTTTGTAGCCAAGAACCATTTTCTAATTGGGTTGGATTTTCATTTTTCTTTTCTTCTTCTTCTTTTTTTCTTGTATTACACCCAGCTGTGCTCAGGACTTACTTCTGGCTCTGTGTTCAGGGATTGAGTGGACCATGTGGGATGCTGAGGATCAAACCCAGGTCGGCGGTTTGCAAGGCAAACGCCCTTCCCACCGTACCCTCTGCCCCAAATAGGATTGGATTTAAGCCATGAATGTGTAGTTTCTGTTTAAGCAGCTGATCCTCTGCCCATCGGCGCCTAATGCACCTTTTTGGAGTCACATGTGTGGCCGTGTCCTTGAGTATTGGGGGACAGACCTCTTTAGGGCCATGCTAGGGGGATGAGCAGGCTTACTTGTTGTAGCCACTGTCTCGTTAGGGCCTTTGGATTCCCTCACAGTGGGAACCGATTCCGTTCTGGCTCATGTTTTAGAGGCTCAAGAAGGTGAGCCCTATTATTAGCAGAGACACAGTGCCAGTCTTTTTCTCATACTGAAGCTTAGAGTTTCATCCCTAAAGCCAGCTTGGGACACAAGGACGCTCGCATGCCTATGTTTTGAGTGCTCACTCTTGTTAAGTGAAGCTCTCTGGGATGGCAGATGCAGCTACTACATAGAGAAGACCTTGCTGGAATAAAGAAAGCTTCCCTTTTAAAAATTAAAAAAAAAATTAGCTATTTTCAGCTTGGTGCCCAGGGACCATGTAATGCTGGGGATGGTACTTGGGTCTCTTGCGTATAAAGCATGTGCTCCTGCCCTTGAGCTGCTCCTTCAGCTTTAAACTTGAAATGTCTCTCAATTCTCATATTCAGAATAATACATAAGGTTTGTTTGCTGTTTTGGTTCTGGGGCCAGACCCACTGGCTCAGAGCTTAACTCTGTTCTCAGGGATCAGCCCTGGCAGAATCAGGGGACCATATAGGGTTCTGGGGATGGAACCCAGGTTAGTTGCATGTAATACAAGCATTTTACTAGTTCTTTTAATTTTTATTTTACTTTTTTCTTTTTGGGTCACACCCGGCGGTGGGTTCCTCCTGACTCTGCACTCAAGAGTTACCCCTGGCAGTGTTCAGGGGACCATATGGGATGCTGGGAATTGCACCCGGGTCGGCCGCATGCAAGGCAAACGCCCTGCCTGCTGTGCTATTGCTCCAGCCCCTACTAGTTCTTTTTAAAGACTATGCCATGTTTGGTCTTTGGGGAAGAGGGAAATGAGGGCTGGTAAGATGTAAAGGGTTTTTAAGTTGATTGCCTCTGGGACACAGCCTGAGGGTTCCAAAGCATAGGGTGAGTAGGGGAGGTGCAAGACAGCTGCCTGATGTCCAGCTGCAGTCTCAGACCAGGCGTCCCCACGTGGGCACACGTGCAAGTGAGTTCCAGTTTGAAGCTGCCTTTCTGCCTTGGCACCGATGGTTCCATTTCCCCTCCCCCCACCTTTTCCTTAGGGACTTACTTCTTGGAACTACCTGTAAGATTCTTCTGCTTTTCCACATTGATTCTTTCACCTGGATTTTGTTAAAATGTGTTAAATCTGACCAAATTGGTTTGTACTAAGCTAGCACAACACAAGCGTTTTACCAGCCCCAAGATAGGTTTCAGCTTTTCTGAGAGCTGATGGCTTTTTTTTTTTCCAAAGGCAAGTGAGAGCTGCTAAGCGCTTTCTGAACATGATATAGCCCACGCTGGTCAGAGGAGAACGCACAGGCCAGGTGTTTGGGGAACAGTTTGTGAAAGCCAATGAATTTCGCAAATGTGCTCGATGATGAGAAGTTCTCAGCTTTCGGTTGCAGTGGTCAGCACTCAGTAACTGGAGGAGAGCGGCGTGAGAGCTGATTTTGTTTTCTGCCAAACCAAGTCTATATGACTCCAGGCAGTGGGATGGATGGCAGGCTGAGAAATGCTGATTCGGTTGGTCGTTGTGAATGGGATGTTTTACCCCTCCGGCAGGACCGAGTTTAGATTGGGTTTCTTGGGCTGGTGCGAGGTGGCCAGCTCATGGTGAAGAGTTGGCTTGAGATGGCAGTCGAGCTTGCTCTCCCCCGTTCCTGGCGCTGCTCACACGTACACGATCACTGATTGCTGGCTTCTGCGAGATCACACAGGTACTCGGGATGATTGTTATCCTCCTTATCCAGTTGGGGCTTGCTTCTAGAGTCTTTGATCTTTGATCTTTTGGTTCTTGGACTGGCTTCGACATCAGTCAGCCCCCATTTTCCTTTGAAAGAGCACACTGAGAACACCGAGACCTGTTTTCTCTATAGAAAGCACCAGATGAGGAGCTAGAGAGAAAATACAGCAGGCAAAGGGCTCGTCTTACTTGTGCTCAAATAATCCTTGGCCCCCCATTTTGTCCCCAAGGCCTACCAGGAGTAAGTCCTGAGCATCATTGGGTGTGCCCTCTTCAAACAAACAAACACCGAAAACAAAACCCTGAACCAGAAACAAATCAGAGAGATATCAGGTGGAACTAAGACCATACTCTCCAGAATTTCCAGGCAGTTACTTCGAGAAAGAGACAGTCAGTCTGGGCTATACTAAACTCACGGAGGGCGGTATGGTGCCACCAGCAGGTCAATCTGTGCCTGTGAGGCGAGTGCATCAGCAACTTCATGGCGCCTTCAGACTTCCAGACACCCCAAAATTGCTGCTGTGCCTTTGGCCAGACCCCAAAAACTTGGGGCAAAGTTTATCAAGAAAGTCCTCCTGTTGTTCATCGATTTCCTCGATTGGGCCCAGTAATGTCTCCATTGTGAGACTCGTTGTTACTGTGTTTGGCATATCGAATACGTCATGGGTAGCTTGCCAGGCTTTGCTGTGCGGGCGAGATACTCTTGGTAGCTTGCCAGGCTCTCCGAGGGGGTGGAGGAATCGAACCACGGTAGGCCAGGTCGGCTGCGTGCAAGGTAAACGCCCTACCTGTTGTGCTATCTCTCCAGCCCACCAAGAAAGTAAATGGTCAAAAGCTAGGTATGTGGGAGACACACTCACAAACCACCTCCGGCTCAGCTGTGTAATTGGAGGCGTGTCCTCTCTGGTTCCTGATCGAACTGCTTAACGGCCATGATCCCAGAGACTCAGAAACAAATCTTGAAACCCAATGGCTTTTGGCGGAAATAAGTCCAGTCCCTGCAGGAGGTTGTAGGTGCTGGGCAACCCCAGGAAGAAATGGGTTTCATGCCTTGGCCTGTTCCCCTGGTGGCCTTGTGACCACCATCTTCCTCCAGAGGCCACTGGACAGTCAGGTTTGGGCCCTCAGTGATGAGACACGTGGGGCTTCACAGGATAAGGGTGGAGCTGGCCCTTTCCTCCCCATCCCAACGAGACCCCGAGTTGCTGCCCACAAACGGCCTCTCTGGCTCCTGATCAAGCTGCTTAATGGCCATGATTCCAGAGACTCAGACACAAATCTCGAAACCCAGTGGCTTTTGGTAGAAATGTGTCCAGACCCCGCAGTAGGTTACTGTCGCTGGGCCATTCCAGGGGGGGAAGGGTGCTGTCCCTCTGCCTGCTCCCCATAGGTGGCTCGGTGGCCACCATCCTCCAGAGGCCATTAGACAGTCAGGTTTGGGCCCTCAGTGATGAGACACATGGGGCCTCACGGGATGGGGGTGGAGCCGGCCCTTTCCGCCCCGCCCCAAAGAGACCCCGAGTCGCCACCCACAAATGGCCTCTCTGGCTCCTGATCAAACTGCTTAATGGCCATGATCCCAGAGACTCAGGAACAAATCTCAGAGTCCAGCAGGTTTTGGCAGAGATCCCTCCATCCAGATTTAATTGTTAAAATTTCAGAATTTCAAAATCATATGTTATTTGATCTGTATTTTTCACAAGACATCATATGTTATTCATAACCAGCAATAGAAAACAAATTGTCTACTGTTGCGTTTTCAGCAGATCTGAGTGTTGGGGTAAAATCCCAAATAGTAGTGGTGGGTCTCGTGTCGAAATGTTGAGTGTGATCAAGGTAGAGAGAGAATAATGTGGAGATCATCTGCCCCACAGGTTGGTAGGGGGAGGGTGTGGGATGGGGATATACTGAGGTTTTGGGGATTGGAGAATGGGCACTGATGAAGGCACTTTTTCATTGTATGACTGAGACTTAAGCCCGAAAGCTTTGTAACTGCTCTCACAGTGATTCAATGAATAAAAGTATAAAAAAATGAAAAAAAAACCCTCACGGAGGACACAGGGGTCCAGATGATGACTCAATGACTTTAAGCACTTGCCTTACAAGTGCACAG